CATTAGAAAAAGCCACATCTGACTTGGGGAGGGTGGATGAAAGTAGATGGGACCCAAATTTTGCATCCACGCTGCAGAAATAATCCGGTTTGATACCACTTTAACTGCCATGGCTCAGTGATATGGAAATCTGGGAACTGTAGTTTGTTGTGGCACCAAGTACAGTTGCCCGATGTCCATAGCATTAAGCCATGGTAGTTAAAGTGGTATCAAACCAGAGTATTTCTGCAGTGTGGATGCAGCTCCTCTCTGCCTCATTCCAGCCTCAAGTCTGTTTACTGGAGAAAAATCCCTCTATACATTGCATTTGTCAATAGATAATTGAATAGACTTAGCATAACTACAAACAGGCAATGGTATTTTTCAAAGAAGCAGAAGGGAGGTGAAGCTTGTTTTTGTGTTTAGCTCCTGGTGTGTTGTTCCAGTCTATATAATCTTTTTTAAAAAACAGACTAAATATCCACTGGAACATGGGGCAGGGGTTACTCAAATTATTGCCCCCCAAAGGATAACATTTATCATATGCATCTTTTGCAAACATGGTTTGGAACACCATCTTTGCTAAATGTGAACCTAATGTCTTCCCAAAGGGATTCAGAGTGCCATTTGGGGAGTGTAAGGACGAATGGTAGGAGGTAAAGCTATAGTCTTTCATGATGATCAGGAAAATGCAGGGGGAATGGAAGAGGCTGGGAACATATTATTCAAGTAGGTAGGGATATGATGTGTGGGGTTTCTTTTTTGTAAAGAAAATTCAATATGATTCCTACAAAAAAACCCCATAAAAATAAATAGGGAAAAAGTGAGTAAGAAAATGCTTAGGATGTGAACAATGGGTAGGGCTACATCCGCACTGCAAAAATAATCCAGTTTGACCACATTTTAACTGCCATGGCTCAATGCAATGGAATCCTGGGATTTGTAGTTTGTTGTAGCACCCGAGCACTCTGACAGAAATTCATGGGATTGCCATAAGTCAACAGGTGACTAGAAGGTGCCTTCAAGTCACCTGTCAGCTTTTATGAATTTCATAGGCTTTTCTTAGGCAAAGGATACTCAAAGGTGGCTTGCCAGTTCCTTCTTCTGAAATATAGCCCACAGCATTTGGTATTCATTTACGGTCTCCTTTCCAAGTATTAAACAGAAGTGACCCTGCTTAGTTTCCAAAATCAAATTAGATCTGAAGCTTTCAGGGCATTTAAGTGCATACACATACAAAAGAAGTCTATAAAGTACGGTACTTCCATCAGCATCGTAAACTTACAGTTGTCTTGGCACTTTGAACCTCTTCATTTGCACACATGTACATTTGTTGTTGTTGTTATTGTTGTTAATATATTACATTGTTGGTAATTGTGTCCTTGTCATGCAATGCAATCCCCTAGATTATTTGTTCTACTGGTCCTCCCCTTTTACTAGGAGGTCCACTGTATGATTCTTGCAAATCAATGACAAAGATAACCATCAAGAAACATTATTTTAGGGGTGTAGTAGCTGGCTATCATAAACTCTTCTTGTAACCATGTATTGCTGCTTGTAATCCATTGAGTGTTCCTGTTCTTATGTTGTTATATATATATTAATATATTATATTAATATATTATAATAATATATTAATATATTAATATACTAAAGGGTGGGGGGAGTTCCTTGTTGGTCCTCCTAGTTACAAACCTCCTCTGGAGAACTACAGCTCCTTTTATTGCCCTCTGACAAAACTCCTCCTTTCTCATCCAACAGTACATAAATAATTTGCTCTCTTAACATGGAGAAAAGCAAATGGGCAGCAGGAAGGAGGAGGGATGACCATCAATGTCCATACTATTGGATAGCAATGCATAACAGGATTGGACCTCTGAGTCAAGGACTGCCAGCCTCTTATAACAGGATTCTCAGGCCATCACTTATGTATCTGTATGAAGCCATACTAGAAATCTAGCCAAGTGTTTATTTTGTGGTATGATGGAAATCAATAATTTATTGGTGTGATGACACAGTGAGGGCCAGACCTTTCAGTAGCTAGTCACATGCCAAGATGGGTGTGCAGGAAGTAAGAGAGCTGCTGTTGCCACAGTTGCTATGGGAAGAATGATCCTTCACATGGTGTGTGCAAAAAATCCCAGATTCAATTCCTAGTGTCTCCTGTTAAAACAGGCTTTTTAATCTTAGATCCATGGACACCTAAGAGATTTATGGATGGGCTTCAGGGAGTTTGTGAACTACACAGAAAAGCATTTTTTCCCTTCAGTATCTTTCCTCTTACCTTGAATTTTTTTCTGCCCCAGTGAATTTCAAGGTTAAAAAGAGCCTTCTCAAATCCTCATCGTAAAATTTTTGGTCCAGACTAGTCTGTGCAAAAGAAATTAATTTCTATGGAAACAAAATAAAATTATATGCAGAATGTGTTTGTATATATTTCTGTATATTTTTCCAAGGAGGTGGTCCATAGCTTTAATCAGAGGGCATGACACACACACACACACACAACAAAAAGAGACTAAGGACCATGGGGCTAACCAGATTGAGTAATATATGACAATAGGAACCACTTCTTTGTGTGAGACCTTTAATGGAGACTTTGAACCTGGGGAATGACTAAAGTCTAATTCTATGGGATCTTTTATCTTATGTTTACAGAGGTGGCTAGGGAATAAACTGATAGAGACAAAGCTTT